TAGCTTTTACGAACTTCCTGAAAAATCTTGAGCACCGACTCAGATTGATTCATTATAAATTATTTAAATTAATCCCGGTGTGTTCATCGTTATTACTATTCCTTTTGTCTCATATCCCTGTCTACTGTCTCTGCTTTGCATTTCTTTATACTTTCTTCTCTGTCTTTGTGTGCTACATGGAGTGTGGCGACTCGAACTGCTGCACGTCGGTGCAAAGTTCTATCTTAAAGACAGACAGACAGACAGAGAACAGATGATATACTTTTGTTATCCGACCAATTCTGTTTTGTTGAATGGAGGATTTCATCATGAGCCGACATCAGTTAGGAAACCACTGGAAAACTGACTGGGAGTACTGGACAGCCGTTCCGTCCTAGTTTGGGACTCTTCAGCAGTACGCACCCGCGGGGGCTGATGAAGAGTCCCAAACTAGGACAACGGAAACATCTGTCCAGTACTCCCAAGTCATTTTTCCAGTGGTTCTCTAACTGATGTCAGCTCATGATGAAATCCTCCATCCAATCAAACAAAATCCCCTACAAAACCAATAATTGGCAATTCTGTTTTGATCTTAATCAATCACTAGTTTAAGCACGTGTACAGCCGTGCTGGACGGATGAGATTAACTGAAAAATAAAATCAAGCTATATAATCTAACTTCTCTTAAGTGAAACTCACAATTTTACCTCCAATTCACCACAACACACACACATACGCACACACACACACACAAAGACAAATATGAATACATCTAACCCACATCCTCCAGACAATAAATACATAAATAAATAAATGTGAATAGTATTCACCATAATGATAAGGTTAAAAAAGTAGAAATCCTTTTGTCCAAAAATTAATCACAGCACTAAAAGGAAAATAACACAAAAAGATGAAATCTTATCGTCTCACACCTGTTGTTGTTCATCTTTTATTTTTCTTTTACTCCAAAATAGATGAGAGAAAGGAGAAAGTTAGAGAGAAGTGACCGCTGACAGCAATAAGTGAAAGAGTGAGTGAGTGAGTGAGTGAGTGAGTAGCTCTGCTCGATTTGAAAGTGACGGTTAAGGGGAATACTTTCTTCCTTCTTCATTCTCCTATTTATTTCCGGAGATAATTATGATTATTACCATGGGATATATATATATATTTGCCTAAGTATCTTTTTTGGTTTTATTATGCCTATATGAATCATCAGCCATAAATCGTCTTCTCAGTCAAAAATGTGTACACAGGGAGAGAGAGAGACAGGTAATGCGGCAAAGAAAGTAAGGAAAACAGAAGTAAAATGGAATAATAGAGATAATAATAATAATAACAATAATAATAGCGTTAATACACACTAGTAAGTGAAACCAAGTAAATCGCCTAGTCAGGCAACTCAATATCGGTGGGATCGATTACAGCAATCCCATCGAAACAAAACAAAATTAATTGAAAGAAGGGAAGTCATCCTTCCCCCATGTCAACCACACATTCATTTGTATTCCTACAACATTATTATTATTATTATTGCTATTATCATCGTCAGACAGGTCAAGGATACATTCTTTTTGATGAATTCAATTCATAAGGTATTACTTAAACTTGACAATAGAAGAACGCAAGTAGATTATGCAAATTAATAATAATAATTATTATTATTAGTGAAAAAGTTAGTAGAGTATGCATAATTCGAAAAAAATAAACCAGGTAGCAACTGTAACACAGTAGATCCTTGTGCAAATTCACGACTGAAAACAGACTGTAGTGTAGATTACTAATATGATTTGTAAGTAGTATATAGATACAGATGAAGAGGTAATGAAGATAACCGACCAACCAACCAACCAACCAACTTACCCAGGCACGAGTGTCTCAACTACAGGCAACGCAGCATAGATGAGGATGTGAAAACTAGAATCAGAAAGCAGGTATGGCAGACCTTTATTACTCTACACTCCGCAGCATAAAGAACAAAATTCGGGTTTTCAACACCAATGTTCAATTGATTCTTCTATGAAGGTCAGAAAGTTGGCGCGTTACCAACAGCATTTCCAACAGTTAACTGAAGACTTACATCATCAATTGCATTCGCCAGAAGGAATTAGAAACAAGAAACTCTGGGAAAGAGGTAACTAGTCAAGGAGAAGAAGAAGAAGAATAAAATGGAAATGGGTTGGGCACATGATGAGGAGACCGTTGAGTGACATCACTCTCCAGGCTATCACTCTAATGGGTTGTGAATGGGAAACGATGAGTTTGCAAGTGTGTTCGATGATGACATCAAGGAGATTTTAATATATGGTACATGTATTTTTGCCTATATCTGTAATGAGAGCTGTTTACTAGCCAAAATTGGTAGACAGAAGTTTACGTCAATATTTACGTCGCAAATCTTGGTCATGAGAAAAGAACAAGGACAAAGACTAACTTAACAATAAGTCACAGCAGACTTTGCGTGGGCGGATACGATTCGCAGATATATCATAGGACTGTCTATGAAACCGCAACAAAGAGATGACAGAATAGCCTTCAGCAGGAAAACAACCAATCAGAAGACATTACTTCTCTGCTAACAATAACGAATAATAATGCACATAAAAATAAATAAATAAATATCTAAAACAATTAGTTCCCTTTATGAATTTAGATAAAGCAATAAGATGTAATTTGTTTGAGTCGTGTAATCTCACATCCCACTGTATTTACCAATTTGAATGTACGTGTGGACACACATACACACACATAGGGAGGACTCATCGATCTCTGCAAGTAAGGGCTTCACAGTATATTCCTAAATTGCTTCAGAAGCGAATAGAATGCTAAGAACCCACTGATGGTGATAACAGGAGACCTAGATCCTCTATTGCGAAACATATTATAGAAACAGGAGATAAAATTGACATCAACACATCTTTCAAACCTATCTATAACACGTGTTTGGGGGAAGGCGTATCCTAAAGTTTGTGGAAGCCCTAGCTGGCAATTAGGAAGTTTAAACCACCTTTATGCGTTCATCAAAAAACAATTCGTCATCACACTAAACCTTCCTTGGTAAACTGTTTTGATATCATAGTACATGTACTATTACCTTTGTTATTTGGTTTAGTGATCTTCATTGTTATTTTGACCTTCAATATGTCCTTTCAACTTGACCTAAGTGGTCTATTTTCTCACCTCTTAACTCTTTAATTAATTTATATACATTCCTATGTCAAGTCCGTGTGTGAACAGATTGTTCGAAATGTGTTGAGCAAATACACATTACACGATTCAGACAAATTATGTCTTCTTATTGCTTTATCTATATGAATATGTGTTGATTTTCTCAATACACGATCTGTTGCCTGGCCCTTGTCTTCTGTCGTTACATATCTATCTGTACATCGAGATGTCAACATATAATTTCATTACCAAATACTTTTGTGCTCTATCGTTACAATGCAAACAACGTAACGCTTTGACGAATTATAAAAGATACCACACGTCACATGAACACCAGTTGATTACCACTAACATAATAAAATAAAAGGATGCTGAGAGAAGCAAAGATTTAGAAGAGAACATGCAAGAGCACTTAAAACAAGAGATCAAATATGTAGAATGAGAGGTGATTTAAGAGCTATATACAGGCGAAACTTGATGCACGTTTTCTACTGAAATAGACTATCAGATTTATTGTACCTGACACTCAGCACAAACCTCAGATGTTATCAATGCATAACTTAGTATTGTGGTGAGAGCAGGCCGTGAGAAAATATGAGCAAGGCTGAGTCAACAACCAATCACAGCAAAGTTAACGTGGCAAAATATGATTCGCAGATAGAGAACTCTATTTGTCGAGGAATCCCGAAACAACCAATCAGAAGCCTGCGTTTGTCTGCCTAACTTCTGATAAACAACCAATCAGATGACTGCGCTTGTCTATAATAATGTATGTGAAATATGTATAAATACGTGTTGATTTTCATAATAAAATGATCTGTTGCCTGGCCCTTGTCTTCTGTTGTTACAGTATTACCTCATACCACTTTATGTTATTGTATTATAAAACAACAGTAAGTAAGAGGAATATAGATAAAATAAATGATGGAGGTCATCCGTAAAGCGAGCAAGCCGACTTGTTAAGATCATTCTCAACCCTCATGTTATTTTCAGATAGGGGAGAAAGAAACAGATCGCAGCAAGTTCCTGACTGAGAGCGATTCTAGACATTGTTTCAAGCCATGTTAATATATGTGTAAAACTTGGGCAATGTGGTAGTAAGTAATTCCATATTAGTTTGTTTATTAAATGTATCACACAGTGAAACAGTATTGTATACTGGATGGCGTTTCGAACACAATTTATTGTTCATAATCATATCAATTTTTGTCACACGACTTCGAGATTTGATTTTTATAGTTTTTTCTGTCTTCTCCTATTTGTTGTATGGGCAGTAGAATTTTCCATATATCTGGGACAGGTGTTGAATCATTCCTATTACATGTATTTGCAGTTGATTCGATAAACAAAGCTTCTGTTATCAATCTCTCCCTATACCCTGTAACATTAGATTTTAAAACTGTCATCCTATCCCATCCATCCTATTGTATGGTTGTGTGCAACTGCATGTAGTGCTATAGCTGAACTACTCTCTAGATTTCTTATCTTATTTGGGTCAACCAATCTAGATTTAGCTAGGTTTTTATGTTCGGCTAGTCTGACTGCCCCTGTTCTACTGTGGTGAGAGCAGGCTGCTGGCCGATTGGTTGACACTAAGCTACATTAATATGGGCCGTGAGAAAATATGAACAAGGCTGAGTCAACAACCAATCACAGCAAAGTTAACGTGGCAAAATATGATTCGCAGATAGAGAACTCTATTTGTCAAGGAATCCCGAAACAACCAATCAGAAGCCTGCGTTTGTCTGCCTAACTTCTGATAAACAACCAATCAGATGACTGCGCTTGTCTATAATAATGTATGTGAAATATGTATAAATACGTGTTGATTTTCATAATAAAAAGATCTGTTGCCTGGCCCTTGTCTTCTGTTGTTACATTTGGTGTCGCTGCCTACCGACAAATGGAAAGCCTATGCCCTGCTGTTTTTGATGGAGACATATGGATCTTCGGGCAGGACTTCAAGGCTTCTGCGCAGTTGAGTGGCGTTCAAGATCTGTCAGCGATGGAGCTGCTACTTGGGACGCTGCTGGGAGGTCGGGTGAAAGCAGCATATGAAAGTGTAAGCCGAAGTATGGACGAATGTTCGACAGGGTCAGGCAAACAGTTTCCAAAGTGGGAAGGACCATATATGGTCACTTCGAGATGGGGTTACGCAGACACAGTCGCAATGGCGAACAATAAGAGGCGCGTGAACGTCAGCGAGCTCCAGAAATGGATACAGCGAGACAAGCCAACGATGACGCCTGCACCAAGTAGATCAAGCCGACTTCAGTCGCACGTATTTGACGGGGGGACGAGTGTGGTGAGAGCAGGCTGCTGGCCGATTGGTTGACACTAAGCTACATTAATATGGGCCGTGAGAAAATATGAACAAGGCTGAGTCAACAACCAATCACAGCAAAGTTAACGTGGCAAAATATGATTCGCAGATAGAGAACTCTATTTGTCGAGGAATCCCGAAACAACCAATCAGAAGCCTGCGTTTGTCTGCCTAACTTCTGATAAACAACCAATCAGATGACTGCGCTTGTCTATAATAATGTATGTGAAATATGTATAAATACGTGTTGATTTTCATAATAAAAAGATCTTTTGCCAACCCTTGTCTTCTGTTGTTACAGTATTACCTCATACCACTTTATGTTATTGTATTATAAAACAACAGTAAGTAAGAGGAATATAGATAAAATAAATGATGGAGGTCATCCGTAAAGCCAGCAAGCCGACTTGTTAAGATCATTCTCAACCCTCATGTTATTTTCAGATAGGGGAGAAAGAAACAGATCGCAGCAAGTTCCTGACTGAGAGCGATTCTAGACATTGTTTCAAGCCATGTTAATATATGTGTAAAACTTGGGCAATGTGGTAGTAAGTAATTCCATATTAGTTTGTTTATTAAATGTATCACACAGTGAAACAGTATTGTATACTGGATGGCGTTTCGAACACAATTTATTGTTCATAATCATATCAATTTTTGTCACACGACTTCGAGATTTGATTTTTATAGTTTTTTCTGTCTTCTCCTATTTGTTGTATGGGCAGTAGAATTTTCCATATATCTGGGACAGGTGTTGAATCATTCCTATTACATGTATTTGCAGTTGATTCGATAAACAAAGCTTCTGTTATCAATCTCTCCCTATACCCTGTAACATTAGATTTTAAAACTGTCATCCTATCCCATCCATCCTATTGTATGGTTGTGTGCAACTGCATGTAGTGCTATAGCTGAACTACTCTCTAGATTTCTTATCTTATTTGGGTCAACCAATCTAGATTTAGCTAGGTTTTTATGTTCGGCTAGTCTGACTGCCCCTGTTCTACTGTGGTGAGAGCAGGCTGCTGGCCGATTGGTTGACACTAAGCTACATTAATATGGGCCGTGAGAAAATATGAACAAGGCTGAGTCAACAACCAATCACAGCAAAGTTAACGTGGCAAAATATGATTCGCAGATAGAGAACTCTATTTGTCAAGGAATCCCGAAACAACCAATCAGAAGCCTGCGTTTGTCTGCCTAACTTCTGATAAACAACCAATCAGATGACTGCGCTTGTCTATAATAATGTATGTGAAATATGTATAAATACGTGTTGATTTTCATAATAAAATGATCTGTTGCCTGGCCCTTGTCTTCTGTTGTTACAGTATTACCCCATACCACTTTATGTTATTGTATTATAAAACAACAGTAAGTAAGAGGAATATAGATAAAATAAATGATGGAGGTCATCCGTAAAGCGAGCAAGCCGACTTGTTAAGATCATTCTCAACCCTCATGTTATTTTCAGATAGGGGAGAAAGAAACAGATCGCAGCAAGTTCCTGACTGAGAGCGATTCTAGACATTGTTTCAAGCCATGTTAATATATGTGTAAAACTTGGGCAATGTGGTAGTAAGTAATTCCATATTAGTTTGTTTATTAAATGTATCACACAGTGAAACAGTATTGTATACTGGATGGCGTTTCGAACACAATTTATTGTTCATAATCATATCAATTTTTGTCACACGACTTCGAGATTTGATTTTTATAGTTTTTTCTGTCTTCTCCTATTTGTTGTATGGGCAGTAGAATTTTCCATATATCTGGGACAGGTGTTGAATCATTCCTATTACATGTATTTGCAGTTGATTCGATAAACAAAGCTTCTGTTATCAATCTCTCCCTATACCCTGTAACATTAGATTTTAAAACTGTCATCCTATCCCATCCATCCTATTGTATGGTTGTGTGCAACTGCATGTAGTGCTATAGCTGAACTACTCTCTAGATTTCTTATCTTATTTGGGTCAACCAATCTAGATTTAGCTAGGTTTTTATGTTCGGCTAGTCTGACTGCCCCTGTTCTACTGTGGTGAGAGCAGGCTGCTGGCCGATTGGTTGACACTAAGCTACATTAATATGGGCCGTGAGAAAATATGAACAAGGCTGAGTCAACAACCAATCACAGCAAAGTTAACGTGGCAAAATATGATTCGCAGATAGAGAACTCTATTTGTCAAGGAATCCCGAAACAACCAATCAGAAGCCTGCGTTTGTCTGCCTAACTTCTGATAAACAACCAATCAGATGACTGCGCTTGTCTATAATAATGTATGTGAAATATGTATAAATACGTGTTGATTTTCATAATAAAAAGATCTGTTGCCTGGCCCTTGTCTTCTGTTGTTACATTTGGTGTCGCTGCCTACCGACAAATGGAAAGCCTATGCCCTGCTGTTTTTGATGGAGACATATGGATCTTCGGGCAGGACTTCAAGGCTTCTGCGCAGTTGAGTGGCGTTCAAGATCTGTCAGCGATGGAGCTGCTACTTGGGACGCTGCTGGGAGGTCGGGTGAAAGCAGCATATGAAAGTGTAAGCCGAAGTATGGACGAATGTTCGACAGGGTCAGGCAAACAGTTTCCAAAGTGGGAAGGACCATATATGGTCACTTCGAGATGGGGTTACGCAGACACAGTCGCAATGGCGAACAATAAGAGGCGCGTGAACGTCAGCGAGCTCCAGAAATGGATACAGCGAGACAAGCCAACGATGACGCCTGCACCAAGTAGATCAAGCCGACTTCAGTCGCACGTATTTGACGGGGGGACGAGTGTGGTGAGAGCAGGCTGCTGGCCGATTGGTTGACACTAAGCTACATTAATATGGGCCGTGAGAAAATATGAACAAGGCTGAGTCAACAACCAATCACAGCAAAGTTAACGTGGCAAAATATGATTCGCAGATAGAGAACTCTATTTGTCAAGGAATCCCGAAACAACCAATCAGAAGCCTGCGTTTGTCTGCCTAACTTCTGATAAACAACCAATCAGATGACTGCGCTTGTCTATAATAATGTATGTGAAATATGTATAAATACGTGTTGATTTTCATAATAAAAAGATCTTTTGCCAACCCTTGTCTTCTGTTGTTACACTACTAGTTTGACCTATGTATTTGACCTCACAATCATTGCAGGGTATTAAATAAACTAAATTGTTTTGTTTTAAAAGCTCCACAGGATTGATCCTTTAACCGACAAAGCTTGTTTCTAATTGAGTTTGTGGGTTTGAATGCCAGCCACTTTTATTCCTGCCTTGTTAAGAATTATGCGTAAGGTTTCCGAGGTTTCTTCTTTGCATGGAAGTAATACTGATGATTTATATTCCTTATTGTTGGTGTTGTCATCATCTTGCGCATGTTTGACATGTATATCGTCATTAAATATTACCAATATTATTATTATTATCATTATTATGATCACTATCACTACTCTCATTATTTATTTTATTTTTACATTCCCCTACATACTTTCTGACTAATTTAGCAGGGTAATTAATAAGTTTCAAAGCTTCTCTTATATACCTCACTTCCTATCTTAGATTTTCTTTGATAGTACTTAGTCTTTGTGCTCTATTATTTAATCATTTCTCCAATCCTATTTTTACTGACATAGGATGGGATGATCGGAAGTCCAAATATCGGCTTAAATATGCGGGTTTCCTGTAAACACCAGTGTTTAGCTTCCCATCTTCTTTCTTTTTTACGCTACAGTCTAACATTGGAAGCTCTCCTTCCTGACTTTCCGATTCATAAGTGAATTGAACTGCCTCCACCTCCTAGTTAATGTGTTCGAAAAATCTATCTACCTCCTGTGTTCTAAGTACAGTGAATGTGTCATCTACATACCTCCACCATATTTTTGAGGTGCGGCTGAACGTTTCAAACGCTTTGTCTTCCCACCTATCCATGAATATATCTGCTACAACCGGGGATATTGGTGATCCCATGGCAACTCCCTCAGTTTGTTTGTATATTTTCCCTTGGAATTTAAATACTGTAGAAGTCAGGCAAAGCTGCACTCCCAGCATTATGTCCTCAAGTGGCACTTTTGTCCTAATTTCGAGTTCTTGGTAAGAAATGAGTGATTACAATTGATATGATTATGAACAATAAATAGTGTTCGAAACGTCATCCAGTATACAATACTGTTTCACTGTGTGATACATTTAATAAACAAACTAATATGGAATTGTTTCAAGCCACTGATTCAATCTATCTCTTGAACTCCACCCATCGTGTCATATGAGATGTACCGACTGATGTCAAACTAACACAAATATCCTTCATCCCACTAGGCCATTTCATGGGTTGATCATTACACAGCTTTTTTCACCCAGTCCCAGGGTTAGAGAATCATACAAGGATTTCTGGGATGACAATCGTAGCATACATCCAAACCACCGAAGCTGGTGTTTTTTAAGATGACTACACCCAGTAACTGGTGACTCCCAGAAGCTGCCGGACATCAGAATTACTTACACAATGACTCTGTTGGACACAGGTGATTCTATGGGGGAAACGATGATCAAAAATGCGCAGAGTCGTCGCATATTCTCAACGCAGAGGGGTAGAGATCCACAGGTGCAGAGCAAGACTGTATGCACCGAAGCGTTATAAACCCTACCTTTTGACAGCCAGGCTGATGTCACGACGGGGCCAGAGATGGGCCATATCCACGTATCCCAATCTAACCTTTCACCATACGCTTACAGATTTCGTCCGTTACACCCAAAGAGACTACAATTTCATGGGGAATTATAATTGTGCACTCATTTGCAGACAACAGTCACCATTTCAAGTTATCATAGTTTCATATCGGAACGTCAAACAGAGGGTATACGAAGCAAAACAAAAAAAGAGAATAATGCAGCTGCCAGTGGTTTTAAAATACCATAAGGCGAATAAAGAAATGTGTTGCAACAAGTGAGAGAAGTTTTAAAAGCCGAAGTATGCATCCCGATCTATCATCTCGCATCTTGTCATTCTCCTTCTACTCCCGGAGATATTTAACAGCTTACAAAGGTATAATACCCGTAGACAGATATGAATTCCAACGCTACATAGGCAATTTGTTGAATTTTAGATGGTTGGAGGCAAACGACAGAAAGATTAGGATCTAAGTTTCGTGCTAGTTGGCACTCACTAGTCAACAAGGAGTATCCGAAAGCCTGAAGGAATTCATGTCTCTTCTTAGATTCTGACCCGCTCCACTT